CACCAGCTCAGAGGTCCTAGAACTTTCCATCTACATATTCTGTCTAATGTCATCATGAAGTCCGAGACTAGTCACCAACCCTGAACACAGCAAACCGATTACCGCGCCTACATGGGGAAATGCACACGTGTTGCTGCATCTCTGTAATTAATGCCTATAGATTTATACGTCGGCATCCTGCAAATTATCATTCGATACATTTGTAGTGTCAACGATTCAGAGACGAGAGTTTCTAGGAGGGCACTTTCTACATGAACAACTTTCACGGTCTCGTCCGCACACTCTCCACAGTAGCTTAGCCTAGCCTGTACACAACACTAGCGTCTAACACTGACGGCCCTGACGAGATAGCCAACTACTAATCCTTGCAGAGCAATGTCTAGCGGATACGTCTTGCGACCGACGGCGACGAGACGACAGCAACGACGAGGCGAATCCATTCACAGACGACCGACAGCCTCGATCCCCCGCTCTCGGCTCCTTTTTATGCTACCACGCGGCCTGGCTCCGCCCTGACCGCGCCTCCCTTCTCGAACCCGCTAGCAGGTTCCAGGGGCCTCCAGATGGGTCCTCTGTGACCCTTTCCCTAGATCCTCCGCTCTGCCAACACACCCGTGCTCACGCTCACCGGTGTGTGTACTGTCTGTCCACCACATTTGCTGCAGACATCGACTAGCCAGCTCCAGAGATGCACGCGCCCAGCAAACGTCCCTTGGGAATGCTCTTCAGCTGGTTGTCTCGCAGACTCAGATGAGTGAGCTGGGTCAATTTGTCAAACACCCCGCCGGATGACGGTTTAGAGGCGGCTCACAACGGCCTCCCCTTGCACGCGAGCGGCGTTGCGTGTGGTTTAACATTTACACGAGTTGCCTCTTCCTGAAGATTTCCATGAATAATGTTGTCACAAAACAATTTAGAGTGTTTAGTGCATTTATAAATCACTTGTGTAAACGGACTGTTTCAGAGTTGTGTTGTTATATCTATTGCTTCGATGTGTTAATTACTGTGAATGGTTAGGATCATACCTTTATTTATTTATTTATTTCGCACGTCTCCATTGAAGATAGAGATGTGTATTTCAAAAGGCTCTCATCGAGAAACATTCATATATCAATACCCTCATATTAATGTATTCATCAGCTATGATAAATATACTGCTGGATAAAGGTTTCTGCAAGCAGCAATTCACGACGATGCGATGTATTAATCCACCTCGCACCTGCACACGAGCTGCTGTCATCACTCCATCTCCAGGGTGAACGTACTTCCACGCTCATTCCTTCCCATGGCTGCAACTCCGCTGTTATTATTGACCATGGTCAATGTGCATTGGCCATCGTAGATTATTCCATCATAAGGATGTTTGGGTTAGAGCGCGTAAATATATCAATGTGTCGTTAAAACCCGTCACCACCCGACACAGCCAACTAGTAAGTGTTGTCACGTAAACAGAACATGCCAATTCGTCACTAGCATGTTCTGTTTACATGACAACCCTTACTAGTTGGCTGTGTCGGGTGGTGGCGGGTTTTAACGACACAGTTATAAATTTACGCGATCTAACCCAAAAACCTCTATTATGGATGATATTGGTCGCGAAAGCCGACACGATCACTGCCGACCTGCACACGCCCCTTCCATGGTCAATTCTCTACGCGGATGACGTCCTCCTCTCAGATGAAGAGAGAGGAGAAGTGGAAAGACAAACGCGCCTGTGGAAGGAACTTTTGGACGGAAACGGGATGAGGTTCAACATCAAAAAGACGGAGTATATGGAGTGTGGCCCCCAAACCGACGGCACCATCAGCATTGACGGAGAAGATCTGAAGAAAGTGACGGACTTTAAGTACCTGGGCTCCACCATCAGCTCAGATGGTAGCATCACGACTGATGTGAGGTCACGAGTCAATGCGGCGTGGATGAAATGGAGGCAAGTCACCGGAGTCCTCTGTGATCGGTAAATGCCGGATAGGCTGAAGGGAAAAATATACAAGACCATCGTCCGACCGGTGGCACTCTATGGATCCGAGTGCTGGCCAGCCACAACTGTACACGAACAAGCTCTCCACACCATGGAGATGAGGATGCTTCAGATGGAGCCTCGGGCTCACTCGATGGGATCGTGTCAGGAACGAAGACGTCGGAAGCGACTTGGTGTGGCCCCCATTGCGGACAAGATGCTTGAGGCAAGGCTTCGGTGGAACGGCCATGTGATGCGAAGTGAAGAGTCATCAGTGGCCAAGACTGCCGTGCGTATTGAGCCAGAGGGCCGCCGTCCACGCGGACGTCCGAAGAAGCGATGGATGGATCGAATAAAGCAAGAAATGAAGACGGTCAACGCATCCCCTGAAGATGCCCTGGACCGAGCCAAATGGAGAAGACAATGCCGAAAAGCGGACCCTGCTCCACAGCAAGAACAACGCTAGGAAGAAGAAGAAGAAGATTTGTCGCGAAAGCCGATGTGTTAGAGTAGATTATTCCATCATTCCTTCTCGTGCCGTAACATGGCCATGCCAGCTTACTTTATTAACTGTTTGATGTTTGATGTAATTTGTACGAGTTTATTACCTGATCCACGCGTTCGTCTATCTCTCAATGTTATTCCAAGCTTGTTATTCGCAGTGCTTCTGTTGTACTTCTGAACCATCTACTATAGGAGGTGTTTCACGCGGATCAACATCTCTCGTTGTGGGCACATTGGAATGTTCCGTTGTACTGTGAAGTTAAGATTTACAAAAGCATTGTTTAAGTCTACTTATAGTTGTTGCTAAAACCTCGAATACGTAAACAATTATCCAGCAAATAATACATTGCTACAACTTAAATTATATAATGAATAGCCTTAAGAATGTCAATGTAAACTACGTCATTGTAGGTAATGAAATTATCCATAACCAAGCAAAATGTTCATATATGCACACATATAGTAAACGAAACACCAACGTTCTGTACAACAAGTGTGTAAAATAAAATAATTGTTGGAGGGATGCAACTTGAAACCGCATCAGATCAGATCGTGATCGAAATGGTAACATGTCCAGGTGAATTCTATTACTTTGAAGTGCGATGAACAATATTAAGACTCAATCTCAGCGTTCCATTTTTCCCCGATAACAAATGTCAATCCACAAATACTGCTCGCCATGACCTATGGATCAGAAATATAATAATATGAAGTGATTAAAGATTAATTGATTTTACCCGACCATAAAAAGTCACCGTGCATGAAACACAAATATTGATAAAAGCACCCTACCCCTTTGATTTCTCCTCCCACCCCACCCCGAGAGGGGTATCCGAGTTCAGGAAGTAGACACCAGGGATGTATAGAGTTTTTTAAAACA